CGGCCAACATCTTATTGAAGCCAGGTCAACTCAAGTTTAACTCAGACTTCAACCCCATTAAGCGTCCAATGGCATCCAGTTGAGACACCATTGACCGATCGTGAAGGGGTTTCTGTGCCGAGTCCATCATGTCGTAGAACGCCTGTGCGACTGTCTCCATCTCCTCCTTCTCACGTCCCTCATCGAACTATCCTTGGTGAAAGTCATCTAACATGTCTGCTACCCCGGCATCAGCATCAAAAGCCTCCACCCGTGGTTTCACCACCTCCTCTCTCATACGATGGGCTTCACCATGGTGGACTCACCGGGTGTAGTCCGGCGTAAATCCATTCCTCACAAGATGTTTACCCATTTCCTCCTTGTTTACCCTTCTCCTGTTTCCACATTTGTTGTAGGGACACAAAACTAGGCAATGTCCTTTAGCAGCCTTGCCAAATGCACTGTTCAAGAAAGCATCGGTCTTGTTCATCCATTCCGTGGTGTAATCACTCTGACTTCTCCGGCCCATGTATATCCACTGACGGTCATCCATCCTCTAACATATGTATCAGCGAGTAATGTAACCATCAATTGCATCTACATGGTGTTCCTACTGTCTAATAGGTGAGGATAGGTCCTAATCCCACCCGCGGATGCGTAGATGAGGTTAGTTTCCATGCTCTACTCCTATCCGAGACAGAATTTCGGCAGCACCTCCCCGCTGTTCTCCAGATACACGTCCTGCCAAAGAAGAGTGCGTATCTGGAGAACAACAGGGAGGTGATGCCGAAACTTTGTATCAGACCGGAGCAGACTATGGAAACTAACCCATCTACGCATCCGCGGGTTGTCCAAAAAACGTGGATAATCCAAAACAGATACGGTCATAGATATGCAAAGATCTATATACCTCCAACCGTATCTCTTTCGAATGGGAGACGCCTAACTGGGTTACGCGATCTACGACCATGATACGGAAAGAGGGATTATACCTAGGGTGGCGGCGGAGTCAGGCTAGCAGGGCAGTGGCGGGTCGGTGCAGTGGCGAGACGACGCGGTGCAGGCAGACCGGCACGACGACGGGAACTCCGACTCGGCTCTGACGGGCTATTCTCTACAAAAATGGAACAAAATACTGTCATTTAAAAAAAATCGGCAGAACCTCCCCTGCACGGTGAGGTTTCCAAAACCTGCAAAAAACAATGGCACGATGGCCGACAAGCACATATGTCTCAAGAGAAGCCATGTAGTTTGGATATCAATCCATACAGAAGAATATATCCAAGTAGTACCACTACTTCTACTACTACTTCCACTATTGCTACTACTACTACCACTAGTTCTACTACTACTACCACCACTGTTGCTACAACCACTACCACTAGTTCTACTACTACTATTACCACTATTTCTACTACTACTACCACTAATTTTACTACTACTATTACCACTAGTTGTACTACTACTACCACTACTTCTAATACTACTACTACCACTAGCACTACTAGTACAACTAATACTACTACAACTATCACTACCACGACAACAAGAGAGAAGGCATACCTGACGGGCGCAGGGGTAGGGGCTAGCTGGCGTGGTCGGGTCGGCATGGGCGCATGGGCAGGCAAATATGGTGGCTGCTTGCTCGGGCTGCTGGGCAAGCACAAGCGGTGTGGTGGCGTGGCAGCGTGCGTGTGTGCGGGGTGTGTGGCCGGCCCAGGGGTTAAATCCATACTTTGCCGAGTGCCCCCGATCTGGCACTCGGCAAAGACTTTTTTTAAAAAAAAACTTTACCGAGTGTCCCAGATCTGGCATTTGTCAAAGTTTTTTTTTGGAAAATACTTTGCCGAGTGCCCCCGATCTGGCACTCGGCAATGGAAAAAAAATCCTTTGCCGAGTGTCCCAGATCTAGCACTCGGCAAATTTTTTTTTTTTGAAATTTCTTTGCCGAGTGTCCCAGATCTGGCACTCGGTAAAGATTTTTTTTTTAGAAAATACGTTGCCGAGTGTCCCTGACACGGCACTCGGCAAAGATTTTTTTTTGAAATGTCTTTGCCGAGTGCCCCTAGTGGAGGCACTCGGCAAAGAGAAAATTTTTTTAAAAAAATTCAGACCTCTCTTTGCCGAGTGCCTTATCTTTGGCACTCGGCAAAGACCCCCATTGCCGAGTGCCATGCCTTATCCTTGGCACATCAGATATCACATGTGGAGATGTCCTGGTTTATAAGTATCGTACGTGACAACGTGCACCAAACCTTCTCAAATTTTTATCATAGCCTCCACATACGATATCACGACATCTCAACAAGTTTTATGATTTTTGGACTTTGTTTCTTTTTTATAGAATTTAAAAACACTTGGCACGCAAGTTCGCGCTCATGTTTCGTGAACAAGATGTCCGAAATTTTGGGTCCCTTCCTGGATACGGCCTCACACTACACTCACTAACATGACTATCATTTTTTGAATCATTAAATTCTATTATTCGTACCACGTGCAGTTCAAATTTATATTTTTTGAAAAAATTCAAGTAAACGAAATAAAGTAACTAAATATATAAAAAAGCCACAAAAATTTCTCAAATTCTAACTAGGAGTTCCTGGTACGTTAAAAGGGCTGCACAAAAAATTTGGAGGCCACAAACAAAAAAAAGAAAAAAACTTTGCCGAGTGCCGGGACATGGCACTCGGCAAAGGGGGTCTTTGCCGAGTGCCAAGGATAAGGCACTCGGCAAAGAGAGGTCTGAATTTTTTTTTAAAAAAAATCCTCTTTGCCGAGTGCCACCACTAGGGGCACTCAGCAAAGACATTTCGAAAAAAAAAATCTTTGCCGAGTGCCGTGTCAGGGACACTCGACAACGTATTTTTCAAAAAAAAATCTTTACCGAGTGCCAGATCTGGGACACTCGGCAAAGAAATTTCAAAAAAAATTAAATCTTTGCCGAGTGCCAGATCTGGGACACTCGACAAAGAAATTTAAAAAAAAATCTTAGGCACTCGGCAAAGAAAAACTTGGCCGAACACCGTTACTCGGGCAGCCTATGCCGAGTGCTACGCTTTTGCCGAGGGTCTGGCACTCGGCAAAGAAGTCCTTTGCCGAGTGCCCTTTTTTGCCGAGTGTAATTCTTTGCCGAGTGCCCGATTTTTGACACTCGACAAAAGCAGTTTGCACTCAGCAAAGACTCTGTTTTCAGTAGTGCTCACCATCGCTGTGCCACTAGATGCGCCCGCCAGGCCGATGGCCCCGCCTGCATGTGCCGGCAGCGCTAGCGCGTCCTCGCGGCATGCGCCCGCGCGGGGAGCCTCGTCCACGACGACGCGCTCATCTATCTAGCTCAAGAGAGGCGCGGACAACTCAGCTTTAGGGTTGACTCTCAGAACTCAGATTGCGCCTGCTGCTGGGCTGTCTTTGCGAGAATGGAACATACACACAAACTAGAAATATTCTTGATTCTATGCATGGTTGAGACCCTTGAGAGGGGCAAAGAACCTGATGAAACAATCTATGGCATTCTGCTTCATGGATATGGTACCAAAGGAGCTCTTTCAGATATGCATGATCCCCTGGATTCGGCAGTAGGAAATGGTGCTTCACATCCATGCCGGGTGGGCTGCCCATGGGCCACCCGCCGCGCCGCCTCGGACAAAAGGTCACGGTAAATCAAATAAAAAACAAAAGAAAAGAAAAAAGCCCGCAGCCCAAACCGGGCCTGGATCCGCCGCCGCGTCACGCGCGTCCGCTCGCTGGCTCCTCCCCGCCGGATCCGGCGGCGGCGGCCTCATCCTCGCCGGATCGGCCACCGGTGGGCTCCTCCTTGCCGGATCCGCCCGCACCGGGGCCGGATCCGGCCTCCCCGTGCGTCGGGCGAGCTCGATGGAGAGGGAGAGGGAGAGGGAAGCGCCACCGTCGAGATCGAGAGGAGAGGGAGGTGCGCACCGCCGGGGCTGCCGTGAGGGAGAGGGAGGAGCCGCTGCCAGGTTTTTCGTGGGGGAGAGGGAGAGGAAGGGGCGAGTGAGGGAGAGAGAGAGGGGTGCCGTGCGCGCCGTCGTAGGGAGAGGGTCGGAGGGAGGAGCTGAGAGAGAGTGAGCGAGAGCTGAGAAGAAAACCCTAAGTCTGGTATATATGTAAGCCCGATAAGGGTAGTATCGGCCGCGGTTTTCATGGGCTTGCTGGTCCTTAGCCTATTAACGGAGGCCCGCCTCTGAAAATGGATCTATTTTTGGAGGCGGGCCACTTTAGAGGCCCACCTCCGTAAATAGATTTTAGGAGGCGGTTGTTTGTTAATCGTCTTCGTAAATCGATTTTACGATGAGGTTAATTGTGACCATCTCGATTAATAAAAATGACCGTCTTCGTTAATCCAAGCATTAATGGAGGCGGGCAACCCCCAGCCTTGGAGGGCCCAAACCAAACGCCCGGTGAATGTTACTGTAGCAGTGAAACGTGGGGCTGAAGTGGTGCGACACGACGCTGAGTTGAGCAGCTGGACGATGGCCGGCACCGTCACGCACCGCGGCACCTTGTACTGCCCGAGGGACGCGCCGCGGGAGACGACGGCGTAGTCCACAACCTCCTCGAAGGTGCCCGGCTGGACCACCCGGATCTCGAGCGGCCCGATGGAGCCAGTCGCCACCCGTCCCTCGCGGTACGAGTAGCTCAGCGCCTCCTCCATCTCCAAGCAGCACCGCCCCAGCACGTCGCTGTCCACCACTTCCGTCGTCTCGACGGCGGCGGCGGTGGTCGAAGACGAAGACAGCAGCGGCTCCCAGTAGACGGCGTAGTGCCCCGGGACTGTCTCGGCGCACGTCCGGGTCGTATTATAGAAATGGCTTTGTACTATTCTGATTCTGCTGTATGGAGGTTCTGTTCCATCTTCTCGATTATCACATCTTGTTGGTGATAACCAGTAAAACTATATAGATCTTTATCTGTTTTAATATTTATTATGAAATGTTCTTTATATATAATTGCGCACATCTGACTTAAACAACTGCAGATTGTTAATAAAGGAGTGAATATGCATGCTTATAATTGAATTTGGTTTTCCTGCAGCCACTTGGTGGTCTCTTTATGGAGGAGACACCAAAGAATTGCAAAAATATGCATTGAGGATTGTGTCACAGTGCATTTCTACAAGTGGCTGTGAACGAAACTGGAGTAGATTCTCACTGGTCCAAACCAAACTGAGAAACAAACTGTGCTACATTAAACTTCATAAGTTGGTCTATGTGAATCATAACCTGAAGCTACGTGTGCAACATCTTGAAGCTAATGATCAACTTGAGAAGGAAAAGTTTGCAGATCCTATTCAAGATATGATAGATTGTGCACTTTTTGATCATACCAATCCAATTACAGAGTGGCTAAATGAACCAGATTCTGTTGTTGATCAAAAAGCTGAACAATCTTATGGACTAGTGCGTGAAAAGAGTCTTCTTGGAACGAGAGAGCGAGGGAAAGCTGGACTAGTGCATGATAAAAGAAAGAAGGGGGCAAGTGAGGATGGGGATGATGAGTTTGATGAAAACGAGAGTGAGAGTGATGATATTGGAACATGGGATGATAGCGATAATGGGGCTGATGACGAAGGAGACACTGATGGAGACGGAGAAGGTTAGCCTTAGTGTTCTTTAGGTAGAAGTATTTTGATATTTCTGGAAATCTGCATATTAACATATTTGATTGACTAATTGTGCTTTCTGATAGATGAAGATAAGGTCCCTTCCTCTAAGAAGCAGCAAGGGCTGAAAGAAGAGAGGATTTCCAATCCATGTCCTGCTCCAGAAACGCATGGTGATGATGAAACCGCACTAGCAGGTTCTAAATCATTGTTGTGTCCATTTTTGTCTGTTGGCATAGTGAAATATTTCCAAGTATTTTTGCATGCTTATTATTATTTTGTAGGGAGGAATTGATTGTAGACCGAGGAGGGCGTGTCGAAACAAAACCAAGGATATTTATTCTCTATTAGGTGGAGTTGTTTCACCGTACATTTGTTAAATTGTTTTGTTTAATCTATTTCTAAGTTTTGCTCGTGTGCAGGTTGCAAGTAGTAAACTGGAGCCTTCACCACAGAGTTATGCTTCACCATCGAGAGACTATTTTTCTTATGATTTGTTGTATCTCTGTATGGAACTGTGAAGTGGACTGTTAGATTTACTTTGGACTATTTAAGTGGACTGATTATTAAGTGGAAAAACTATTTAATTCTATGATTTTGCTTAATTTTAGACTATGATTTGTTGTATCTCTATATGAACTGTTTAAGTGCACTGTTAGATCATTTGTTATCTAGATTTGGAAAAACTACTTTGTTCTATGATTTTGCTTAATTTTGGACTTTCTTTTTTGCCGATTTTCGGCCAAATTTTCTTATTTCTTCAAAAATCAGTTTGAGCATTTTTTGCACCTGAAAAATCCGAAAATCCCGATTTTCGTTTTTACCGCTGAGCACCGATATTTTTGGCCGAAACGGTAACCTAAACTAACTGTCTAGGACGCCCGCGCCGCGGGGGACGAGCAGCGCGGCCGACGCGCGTCCCACCACGCGCTGCAGCTCCGCCTCATCGGTCCTCTCGACGTCGACAGACAGCACCACGTTGCTGCGGCGCACGAACCGGAGCTCCGGCGCCGCGTTGTGGAACCCTGGCACGCGGAGGACGTCGCCGACGCGGTACCGGTACAGCCCGGCGTAGGTGGTCACCACCAGCTCGTACTCGCGCCCGGCCTCCACGCGGGCGTGCTCCACGAGCTGGCTCGCCACCGTGGCGTCGTTGTCCGTGGGCAGGAACTCGAAGTAGGCCATGTTGGGCATGATGGTGTCCGTGGGCAGGAACTCGAAGTAGCTGGGTCGCCGCCGGACATCGGCTGGAGGTTGAGGCCTAAGTAGCACTCCGAGGACCCATAGACGGTGGAGACGATGAGCAAGCCGCCGCCGCTGACGTAACGGAGCGTCGGGACGTACTGCGCCATGGTGCCGGTGCTGATGGCGTCCAGGTACTTGGCGTTGGGCCAAACGCGCGTGAGGATGCCGGCCCAGCAGTCACCCTCCTCCGAGCCGCCGCCGCCGCACTCCGTCCGGATGAAGTGCGCGAGCTCAGGGTCCGGCCGGCGCACGGCATTGACGGCCGCATGCACCGAGGGGTCGGTGACGCGCTGGCTGCCTACGAGCCTGCCGGCTTCGATGTCGGCGGCGAGGTGCCTCCAGTTGCGCTGCAGGAAAGAGATGGCGCGGACGAGGCCATACGCGAACGCGGAGACGACGCGCAGCACGGCGTGGCGGTGGCACAGGCCGCACAGCATCTGCGCGTACATGCTCTGGGACGCGTCCTCGCACAGCACGGCCGCCGTTGGCTGGGGTCGTACGGCGGGCGCCTCTTGAACTGGTCGCTGTGCACGAGGCTCGTCGTGCACTACTGGAATCTCGTTTTTTTTCCCGTGGGTGCAAAAACACACAGAAAAATGCGAATACCATCAGAAAAATATTTTTCTGACGGTGTACCCTCAGAAAAATACCCACAGAAATATAATGACAGAAAAATTCAATTGTTACGTGTGTTCACCGTCGAAATAATTTTTACGTGGGTGTTACACGCATGTAAAAAAATTGCGTTACCAGATTAAAACTAATTTTTCTCGTGTGTTAATCCACACGAAAAAAAGAAATAAACGCATTTAAAACACGCTTTTTTCTCGTCGGTCTAAATAAACTCACGAAAAAATTCATTTCGCCTGCATTAAAAAAAAAATTCTGTGTAACCATACAGTACTTTACAGACATGACCAACAAGGTTTCATTCAAATAATACACAAATCAGTAGTTCATCATGAAACACAAAAATTTGCTCCATACATTTTATTTGAAATCTATGCAAAATTTGTCAACTGTTGCAAAATTTTAACAAAGATTTGCACCAAAATCCATAGAAACACATTTCATTTCAACAATTCTGGCAGCAGCATGTGTTGCTGCTGTTTCACCGCAGAGGCGAGCCGTGAGGCGCTGCTTGTGGAGTTGAGGCACTGGCTGTTCTTGCTGACATAGCCGAAGTTGTACCGCTTCACTTCCGCCGCACACAAGGATTGTTGAGCGTCCAGTCCAAGACAGCGGATAGAATCAATAATTTGTGAGAAAAAAAAAGGAACAATAAATTGCACAATTTAGCACAGAGCACAGAAGCAGAAACTAATGGAGCAACACACGTGACACATTAGGATTAACTAGTTGCACAATACTATAGCTAATGCATCTTTTCTGTTTAGTAAGTGAAAATAAAAGAAATGCTTGAAAATTAAAGTACAAAAATGGAAGGTTAAGATAATTATAAAGCATATTACGTTATGATTCACTATCTTATTTGATACCTCCTGCCGAAACATAATAAAAGAAACACGAGTCATAATCTAGTAGATTTATTGATCAATTCAACAGTTCATCCCAAATATATAAAAAAAGGATAATTTTTCTTAGCATACAGGTGATGAACTGTCAATAACTCAAAGAATAGAATGCATTTTAATCCTATAAAGAATACTCGGTACAAATAACCTCTCTGCAGTCAATACACAGGCTTCAGTCTAGTTTTAAGAATGTTAAAAGGCTGGATGAAAACAATCAAGAGAAAGCAAGCGTGGTAGTAACTTGGCGGCTAACTTCCGGATGTCAAACCGCAAACCTAAGTACAACAAAGATGAACACTAGATCGCATGGTTTACATCACCACCAAGACAACGGTTTGAACTAACAATAGAGGAGAAGAACATTCTTCTAGAAGTTGAACCCATAATATTCCGTGTGAGAAGTTGAACCCATAATATTCCTATGTTACAACAAAAACACCATCTAAAGGACCCAACTTTTACAAATATATTGAATTAAGCATTGCCTTCAACAAATAATTAGCACGAGAAGGCTCGAGAAAAGTAAGGCAATTAAAGGGATGAGATCGATTATATACTAGCACAAAGTACAACAAAGATGAACACTAGATTTGCATGGTTTATATCAAAGAATGCTTGTATCAAAGACATCTACCATACACTAAGAAAAACACTAAAGACAACTATGATACAAATCGAGGGCATCCTATTGAAGTCAAATGTTGAGAGAATCACACTTTGAGGTGCTACGCCAATCAACATTTCACAAAAAAACATCCAATTTATTGCTAAGAAATAAGGGATTTCAGCAGGATAGGCATGTAGACACATAAGCATAGTAGTATTGTCAAACTAACATACTCTTGCAAGTGAATAAAATAAGTTTCTAAACAGGCCATTTGACATTGCTAACCACCTTGCAAGTGAATCATACATATTCAAATCAGATTGTTATATGACTATAAAATAAGCTCATATTTATCAAGTGCAAGCAGTTGGTTCTTACTACTGATTTTACAGTTGGGGTCATCAAAAGTTGAGAAATCAAGTGCCAATCTTAGACTCTGAAAAGGTTGGAACAATATCAGGCCAATTCAAAATCAGTAAGGTATGCATTACTCAAAGTCTCAGTCTTAAACAGTCAGCGTAGATTAGCACGCAAAACCACTGACCTCAACACAAGGGGCCTGTTCGCTGGTTGGTGCTGGTGCTGGTTTGGGCTGGCTGGTGCTGGTTTTTTGTGAGAGGAAAACACTGTTGGCTGGCTGGTTTGGGCTGGTTGAAACCAACAAGCGAACAGGCTGAAGCTCAAGGTCATCGGTTCTTGGCATGCTTAATATGATATCATCATTGGCAAAGTAAGTGAGGCCTCAGCTTAACGATATGTTGGTACAATTTCCATATACTCAATCATAGGTGGCTGCCAAGGCAAAAAAAAATAGATAGAAGAAAACTAAGATCATGTCCCATGGTTTCTTGTGATCATGAGAATCATCTGAATGCACAAAAAACAAATTGCAGCCACCTTAGAGTTTATTTTTCATGTTGCATCATTGGCCAAATAGATATCAAGAGTTTGAACATCACAGTCATATCAAGAGATTGAACATTAGTGTCATAAATTTTAGATGCTTCAGCATAAAGAACCCTCACTAGAATCAGAGCTATGGACTTAAGCAAGACGCGGCTGCCACACCATAGGGTGCTCCTCCAGCGCCTAGGGTTAAGTAAACATCATCGACCAAGACAACAGTTTGAACTAACAATAGAGGAGAAGAACATTCTTTTAGAAGTTGAACCCATAATATTCCGTGTGAGAAGTTGAACCCATAATATTCCTATGTTACAACAAAAACACCATCTAAAGGACCCAGCTTTTACAAATATATTGAATTAAGCATTGCCTTCAACAAATAATTAGCACGAGAAGGCTCGAGAAAGTAAGGCAGTGCAAATGGACAGATCAGTTATATACTAGCACAGAGTAGTGATGATATCTCAAAATAATAATAAGAAGAAAAAATCAGGTCACGAAATGCCGAACAAAACATGATGACATGCGCAGTATTAACAGTTCTACTAGAGTTAGGACCCACTTATAGTACTCAAAGTCTCAATCTTAAACAGTCAGCGTAGATTAGCATGCAAAACCAGTGACCTGTGCATGGCATGTAGCCCAGGTACACAAAATACCAATAATAAGATGGTGATCAAATGATGTAGTATTCAACACATTGGCCTCAGATATCAGTTGCTCCTCGGTTGACCTTGAGCTTGGAGCATAAGAAACAAAGAGTAAGAAACAAAGTTCCAGTACCTCAACACAAGCTCAAGGTCATCAGTTCTTGGCATGCTTAATATGATATCATCATTGGCAAAGTAAGTGAGGCCTCAGCTTAATGATATGTTATTACAATTTCCATATACTCAATCATAGGTGGCTGCAAGACGAAAGCAAATGTAAACATGTAGATCAACAAAAATGTCGCCCAGATCTAAGTATCTAAGAACATGAACCCTAATATCAGTGGACGACAAACAAAATCCACAAATGATTCAACATAAATCACCGCACAGAGAGGGGCAGGAGATGGGGGCAGGTGAGATATACTGTTGGAGCACTAGAGGACCAACACGAATCCGCCGGTGGAGGTTGACCGTATAGGTCGAGCGAGCTCGATGGGGAGGAAGAGGAGAGAGCGCACCAAACCAGAGGAGGAAGGAGAGGCGCGAAATGGGGACAGTAACCCTAGCCCAGTCCTTGGTGCGGCAGGAGGCAGATCTGGGGGAGGAGGCGCCGCCATCCGGCCTTGCACGGTGCACGGGCAGCCACCGCCGTCTTCCGAGGGAAGGGAGGGGAGGAGTTGTAGTGGAGGAGGGGGTGGTGACCTCACCGATGGAGGAGGAGGTGGCCGCTGCGACGGTGGAAGAGAGGAGGGGGTGGCCGCCGCGACGGTGGAAGAGAGGAGGGAGGGAGGGCGCCGGGTGAAGAAGGGGAGGGGAGGGGCACCCACCGGGAAGAAGAAGGGGGGGGAGGGGGGCGCCATGGGGAGAAGAATGGGAGGTGCGGATCTGCTTTTCGTCGTGGCGGGACGGATCCGGATCTTGTTGCTCGGGTGAAGGGTGAAGAGGGAGAGACGGATCCGGCGTCGGGGGTGAAGGAGAGGGGCCACGCCCGCCGGGTCGATGAAGAGGGAGAGGGAGGAGGGGAGGAGCGGCGGCGCTGCTCGAGGAGGGGAGGAGCCCCCGCGCTGAGTCGCAGAGGGAGGGGCGCGGCGCTGAAAGGAGAGAGTGAGGGAGGGGGCGCGGTCTACTGTGCGCGTGAGAGGGTGTTTGGGGGGCGCGACGGCCGGATTAGGGTTTGGATTTTTTCTGTGCGTGCACATTTTTTTCCGTGCGTTTTTAAAGAACCGACACAATAAATTGTATTTTTCTGTGAGTGATGATTTTTTCTGTGTGTATATTATCACGCACAGAAAAATAAAATAATACAATTTTTCTGTGGGTTTTCATATTTTTCTGTCGCTATATTTTGGAACCGACAGAAAAATCATAATTTTTCTGTGCGTGTCGAGAAAAATGCACAGAAAAATTCATCACCCACAGAAAAAAGCGAGATTCTAGTAGTGGTGAGAGTACGCGCTGGCAGGCCGCCCGGCTTCGTCGTCGCCGGCTTGACGAAGTAGAAGTAGAGGCCGCTGCCCTTGTCGAGCCCTGGCACGTGCCTGCAATCGCGTGTTCAGTTAAATCGGGTGCACGTACGTATTATCTATAGGACGAATGAACTCATGATGAACTGTTACTGGTTCATGACTGCCGTGACGAGGCTGTGGAGCAGCATGCGGCGGTCGAGCTCGTCCTTCACGGCGGGGATCAGCTTGGGCTCGCCGCCCGAAGTGCCGGTGGTGACGATGAACTCGGAGATCGGGTGGCCGGGGGCCGTCAGGACAGGAGACATGTCACCGTTGGCGACGGGCAGGATGTACGGCTTCACGTTTTCGTACGTCACCATGGGCACCTTGCCCCGGAAACTGGCGTGGGCGGCTGCGGCCCCGGCGGCGAGGCCACATTTCGTAAGGTACTCGACGTCACCGTTGCGGGCGAGGATCTCCGCCAGCACGCGTCCCTGAACGGCGTCCACATTAGTGGTCATCTCCTCGATGCACTCGAGCTTCTCCGCCATGTCCTGCTTCTGCATTCCCGGCGGCGAGGAGGCTGGGCTCCGAGGCGCCGCGACGTTGGTCGGAACGTCAGTCTTCTATAGAATTGTGCTCAATCCACAGATAGAAATTAAACTGTGAACGTTAGATACAACAGGTAGTGGCCACGCCATCGAGCAAGATATAGCCGCACGTGACGTACTGTACTGTGAAGCAGATTTTTTTTTTACTTCTACTGTGAAGCAGATTGAAGCCATGCAGTGCAACAACTTTGCAGTGCCAATGATTTCTTGAGGGACCTTATAAAGTACACCTATCTGCTAGTGCCCATCCATTCTTGTACGTTATTGTACGTTATGCAAAGTACTCACTCCCTTTCAAATCAAGACGTAATCCTTCTCTTCCAAATTACAATGTATTTTGGTTTTTCTAAATACATTGCTTTTACTATATGTATCTAGAGTCTAGATACAGTGTATATCTAAATACATAATATCTAGAAAAAACAAAATAACTTATGGAATAGAGGAAGTATGTATTTCATTTTATTAGGACAAGACTTTAACCGATGCTATTCTTGGTATCTCATTTATATGATACAAAATCACAAACTTCATGTACACATATTTCTATATAGATCTAATAAAGTCATTTTTTTATCATAAACTTCATGTAAATATTAATAAAAAAGTTGGTTAGGGATTGTTCTGTTGAAACAAAATACACAATTTCGAAGAGAGAGAGAGAGAGAGAGAGAGCATAAGGATCATGACTGCTTTTGCGTGCATAATGTGCATGGTACATAGGTACTAGCTACAGCATCGCTATATGCAATCAAGCTTGGCGCATCAATGCACTGGCGGAGCTACGGCCTGTTCGGGCTGCCATTAAAGCCGGCTGCATCTGTTTTGTTGTGAGAAAAAAATACTATAGATTTTAGCTGATAAACTGGCTAATAAGTTCAGCCACGGAGTAATTCTGCATGCATACATGCAAGCAAACTGGTTCCCTGCAATTATGCACATGCTGGACGTAGGTAGCTGGAGGCTTGGAGCTCATATTGTCATCTCTATATAGGAATCCTGCTTCCAAAAGCGGGTCGGTGGATCGGGCCACGTGGCCCGATAACCCGTAAACCGTTCGATCGACCCGTCACGCAACACTGTCCGTCCGATGCAGGTCTGATCGGGCCTCTCGCCCATCAACCTGCAAACCTGGTCACCCACGAATCATCGTGAACCCGGGCCGACGCTGGCTTCCTTTGGCTCCTGCCTCCGCCGCCGCCACCGGTCACGTCCCTGCCGAGCGCCGTCCCCGTCCCAGGCCGCGCCGCCAAGCGCCACCTTGGCGGGAGGCCCCGACGTCCTCTTCCCGCAGGCCCGGGCCCGGCCGCGCCTCCGCCACGGCCACCACTGCCACCCCACCGAGCACCGCCCCCGTCCCAGCCGCCGCCCAGGCCGTGCTGCCGACCGTCACCCCGGCCCCTGCCGAGGTCGCGCTTAGGGTGTCTGCCTCCATGGAACAACGCCACCTCAAATTGCGTGCAATCCTCAAGAGTGGGGAAAGAAATCATTTCTATTTTTCTCTGAATACCAGTAGGGGGGCACACACCTAAAAAACAAAACAAAACAAAACAAAACAAAACCTAAAGCTCCTTGCTCCAATCTTTCTTGCGTGCGTTCTAGAGAGGTTCTTTCTTTCTTTTGTGTCATGGTCGTTGGCTAATTGATTTCCATTCTACACAGGTTAGCTGGAACAGGACGTGGACAAAATGTGTTGGAGATTAATTGATGTTTTATGGATTTCAGTGCGCTGATTATGTTTAAGTTTTTTTGCACGTGGATTTCATCCCCATATCCTAATTTAGGCATATGATATTTCTTCTGTTTGATGGATTGTCCATGCCCTACTTGCTTGTAGTAGGGAACTGTTGATGAGTGGTTTGATTATGAGAAATCGGTTTTGTGCTACATGTCATGACTCCATCCAGGGGCCAGCGGTGGAGTCAGCAAAAGGGGTGGCTAATGATGCAGAGTATAGGCAAACAACTCACCTTCAGCTCACTACCTATGCCAAAGAGATAGTAACAAGCGTTAAGTGGTGACCGTGATTTCTAAAGATTGACATCTGATCTCATACTAAAATTGAATCTTTGTCCAATCCGTACCAGCATCTCTAGAGGAGTATTGTCAACTGTCCATGTATCATATAGGTTGTAAAGTATCTGCAACCTTTCCTGCTTTTTTATATTTCTCAAAGAGCACAAACTCACTATGGAGTTCAGAAAAGATACAATATATCTACATACAACCACATTTTATACGTCGATCCTACTTTTTTTTCATGTAGTAATTTTTAAGGATCTATCCTACCAAGATTTAATGCGATTCTAATTATCTACAGGAAGGAGGAATACTCCATCTCTTTACCTTCTTTGAAATGCCTCCATTTTTGGAATATCATTATGATTGATATATTAATGAGAAGGTGGTGTAACAAAGGAAAATGCATTTTGTTGTATATAAACCTTCATCAACCGCAGTCCTTTTCTCTGAGAGTGATATATAAATGGTGTTCCCACTTCCTCCTTTTCAAAAATAAAATATATGTGTTAAAAATTTATTAGTCTTGCAATTAACAATGCTTCTTTTATATTTGGCTCAGCATGTAGTGGTCCTGATTAATAGTTTCTAAGTTTGTACAGGTTGGTTGGTTTGCACCTGATATATTGCCTTTATATTTTGTGCCACTAGATAAGTAAATAGATACATTAATGTGAATGCAGTCCTTTCTACTCCACGTTGACATCGGGGGTAGCCTAACACTGGCAGCTGCGCGGCAACGCCGTGCTTAGTTTCTAGTGCAGATATGAAACTTGCTTTCTGTCGCTAGTCTGTTTACCAGGCTCATAAATCACAAATATACAAATACATATTGGTCACTACTGGAGGTCACTACTGGAATTAGCGCCCCCCCTAATTTGTTCCCACGCTCCGCCACTGCATCAATGCACGGTACCAAGGTAGGCATGTGTCACACCCAATTTTAAGGATAAAATTGAATGCGCAAAACTCATGTGTGTCCAGGAATCAATCACACACACAAGCTGACAAATTACATAAAGTATCATCACGGTGTCTCATACATCAGAGTTATAATAAAACTTAGTCTTATACATCACAGCGGAATACTAAAAAGATAATAAAACTCTCATGGCCGTCATCATAGGGAAGGTCAACTGGTTGACCACAAGCCTAATAATCCTCCGAAAAATCCTCATACCCGTTGTCATCTGTTACCCATCCGAGATTTTTATCCAAGTAAAGAAAATAAACAAGTGTAAGTACATTCCATACTTAGTAAGCTAACATGGGGTTATGAAGCTCAAAAAGGTTAGACTCTGGTTAACTGCAGTTAGCATTTTTAATAGGTCAAGCTTTTATTCTCAAGTATTATCAAGTTATGCTTAAGCTCCCATTTAATTCCCATAAGAACATATATCGGGGTCAAGTGTACTATATATCATCATTGAACAACTTTAAATTATCATCAACAAGTATCCAGTTATTCTGTGAGTTTTCTGGGCCGCTCGTAACCGTGAGCACGACTGTTATAACAGTTTGTTACCCTCTGCAGAGGTGGTTCACATTCACCGCGAGTCGTGATCCCCATATACCCGGGTTAATTACTCCCATGTCACTTCCAAGGTGAGCGGGCAGGGTACACTATGAAGCCATTTCATAGGTTTCCCTAACAAGTTAGGGCCGCTAGGTTTCCTTGGCAGGCAGATGTAGGAACCCTCCTTTCCTATGGCACATATCCATCGCGGCTATACACATAGGAACAGAGGCAGTCCTATACCCAACGTGGCAAGCCCCATTTGCGCCAAAAAGGTAACCTCTAACAAGCTAGAAAAGGTCCTATTACTGAGCTAAAGTCAGAGCCATATGACCCTCACGGTTGCACTGTCAGTCCCAGCTTTTGCCGACAGATAAGTCCTTATGGAGGGCCGAGAGCAATATGATCAAAAGTCATTTGCACTTTCGCCCTATGGAACAGTTGTTATAAATCATGTTACTCACTTTGTTCCATAGTATCATTCATCAACATGTATGTCAAGTTCAGTTAGAGCACTAGCAATCTACCCATATGCATTTAACCCATAGGAGACAAGGAACAGGATAAACAATCACTAGGATGTCCTTACGGGTATCAAAATTAGACACATGCAAATGAGTAATTGATTAAAGTGAAATAGTACATCAAGGAAGGCACATGTTATACTTGCCTTGGTTCACAAACTCGTGCTGGTCCTGCTGGTCGTCGAAGAGTTCTTGGTCTCCAACGTTTTCCTCACCGTCTGAACGCGACCAACACGTCAACATACAACATTCCAAAACCATTCATGCAAAGCAAACATTCCTATCATTAGAACAGTACACCAACAGTATTGAAATCAAGATAAAATGTTTGTAAAACTAATCTACGTTTCGCTACGATCACATCAACGTGAAGTTCACGAAAAACGGAGCTAAAATACGAAAGTTATGATTAAAACGGGTTTTCCTATAGCCCTATATTTAATTAAATCTAATCATGAAATTAAAAAGTTCCAAACTTGACTAACAGTAGCTCCAACATGTAGCTTATGAAATTACGAAGCTAACGCGATTTGAATGGATCAATTCGGAGCTAAAACGATAATTTTATAAGCGAAACAGTTCAAATGGCATTTCTGTAAATACTGAAAACATATTTTTGACTTAAACCGTGAAGTTTACGCTTTCCAAACGGGATTGCGCATTCGGGGAACTACGCCTTGGACTGCGGGTTAGGACTTAGAAAAGTCTAGGGTCTCTTTTACAAAACAGCCACGCGAAGGGGTATCGGCTGATCACGGCCGTCGGATCATGGATGGAGGGCTCTCGGATTAGACACGGGAGGGAGAAAGAGAGGAGCGGGCGGAACAAGAATCTCCGTGGCTGGCTCCCATTGCCAGCGACAAGAAACACGTCGGCGAGCTCGGTTCGGTGGCTACGGGCCACGGTTCGAAGAACCGAGGGCACCGGGAAGAAGCGGAGGAGCGGGGGGTCATGGCTGGCCCAAAAAGATGGTCAGAGGGTGCTGCCGTGGCGGCGGTCGCCATGGCCGGCGTCCAAGAGCATTCGGAGCTCGCGGCTACGGCGCTAGGAACCATCTAACGCCAAAGAAAAGGGCCGGGGAGAAAGAGGAGAGCAAGGGGAGGCTCACAGCGGGGAACTCGGTGACGGATTCGGCTCGGGGAAGGCGGCGACGCGGACGGTGAGGACGGTGGCCGTGAGCTCTTCCGTCTGGCGATTCACGACCTCCGTGGCGTGAACGCGAGTGAAAAAACGGAGTGGGGAGAGCGGGGCGCGACAGGGGGGCTCGGCTCCTTTAAATCGAGGCCGAGGAGCGAGGGCGCCCCCACGACGCAGCGTCGTCGTGCTGGCAGCGATTCTGTGGCCAGCGCGCGCGGGCGGTTCCGAAGCTGCTGAGAGAGGCAGACAATGACAAAGGGGCCGAGCGGTCGGCGTTCTTGAGGGAAGGAGCGGCGGCGTTCGCTGCCAGTTCGTTTCTATTGGTTTTGGCAAGCGTGATCTTTGGGCAAGCATGACGAGATCTGGTAGCAAGTGTCAATGGGAATGGGGGAAGTCTGGGTCAAGCCTTGAGGAGAGAAAGCTCTGCACAAGGCGAAATTCAAGAAGGAGGAGAAAATGATTCTTTTCTTTTTATTTTTCTACACTTTTCCAAATCTATTTTAAATTCAAATTTCAATTCTTTTTGAAATCTTTAATAAATTCCAAACATTCACCAAATGATATGCAAAAGAAAGATGTATGCATCACTTGTAGCTAATATTATATTTGATTTTAGTTTTATAAAATTATTATTTTCCTACATTTGTATGCACACATAATTGCGTAAATAAATCAATTTAGCTATTTAAAAGAGTGCAAATTTTAGGATGTTACAGCATGCAGTATGCTGGCCAATTAATTGACCACTCAATCAAACTCTCTTTTCATGCTAAAAAAACTCTCTTTGACGAGGATCCATAGGGTCCTTGCTTGCATCTTAAATTTGACTAAAATTATAAAAAGAAATATAAAGATTTATGACATCAAATATGTATACTATGAAAATATATTTAATGAAAAATCTAATGATACTTAGTCAGTATCATAAATGTTATTACCTTGTTATATAAATTTGGTCAAACTTAAGATGTTTTGACTCTTCAAAATTCTTAGAATGACTTATAATTTGTGATGGAGGGAGTATTTCTCAAGTGGTCTAAGTGGTCATATTAAAGCAAACAATAACGCTTCAATGCGTGTCGCACATGGACGTGGTTCAACTCTTTTTCGTAAGGAACGATCATATTATTTCTCAAGTCGTCTAGACTTGCATTTGTAGTGGTCATGTCAAGCAAACAATAATGCTTTAGTGCATGTCGCACTTCTTGGATGTGGTTCAACGCCCTTTCTCTGAAAGATACGTCCATTATATTAGAAAACAAGAAGACTAGACACGCTCTATAAAACAACAGAGCAACAAAACCTCAAGAGGTTGAGCAACAATAACACTAACTACCAAAAACAACAACTGAAACAACGAGCGTGGATCGCTGTTTTCCTGTACCAAGTGTAACACTCTAATAAAGTCCAAACGGTTTACATCCACTCTACACTCCTACCAACACACTCACATTTTTGTTTTCGCTTCACATAGAAGGGTTAATCGGGATTGGTAATATGCATTTTAACCTTATATGTTAGTCTAACCCAGCCTTAAACAACCAATGTGAGACAAAACTCTCACAATCTCATATCATCACACGACATGAGCCACCATGGAATAAATTAGGCCAAATGCCATACCCATCTCCGTGAGGAGGAAAATCATATTTCTCGTCCCTTACTAGAGCTTATGGTGGGGAAAGATTTGGTCTATCCGGCCATAGCATTAATACATTATGTAGTATAGATGGCAACTCGAATTAACTTAAAAAGGAAACAACAAGGTGTACAAAAAATGAAACAACAATTTATAGCACAAATGTTCAAATAATGAACTTTATTCGATACATAAATATAGTCCAACATTACTATATTAGTGCAAATAAATGATTACAAAATTAATTTTGGGAGACGACCTTTCCTATTTCTACTAGAGGCAACCACAAACACCATCGCCTCAGAATTTCCTCCAACATTTTTAGAGGCGGACATCTGAACAATCCATCCATGAAAATAGGAGTCCGAGACTGCTTCAAAATCCTAACGAAGCTCCTTAAGACGTCCTCGTGTTCTCATTGATTCTCGCCGAGTCCCTTTTCTTTTCTTTGAGTCATTTTTTTCGACAATGTTTGATTTTGAAGACAAACATTATTGAACATTTTTTTTGCGAGAACATTCTTGAACAATTTAAAGCAATTTAAAACATCTCATGGACCGACCTTTTTTTTGGCTTATGCCGTAACACACAAACAAAAACCTAGTTAGATATAAAGGACTGCTTGGCAAAACCCTATAGCTGATACTTAGGATAGAGCTTTTTGGTGGAGCCACGCCAAACGCAATGACTCCAAACTAGGCATTGGATGGCTCCTCCTTCCGAATGCATGGAGCTGTACAAACGCAGCTCCCCGCAGAGAGGGCATAGAGATGTTTGATGGAAATGAATACCCATGCCTGCACTAAAAAATTACAGCAACCACACTGGATTACCGCCCTCTTTCTACCTTATTCTCGCCGTTCGAAAATAAGTGTTAATATAGTAATCATGCCGGTCAAACTTTTTAAAATTTAACTAGGTTTATAACAAATATTTTATATTTTTAAATAAATTTATTATAAAAATAAATTTAACGATCTGTATAATGATAATAATTACGGTCCCGTCGTGGTTGCTCCTCCGTTGGTGCCGGATCGCGTCGATGCTGGACGTACGGCCGGGCCGCCGTTGGTCGAGGGACTCTCGGGGTACAGCCGTCCAGCGAAGCCTCTGTCGCAGGCGGGCACTCCGCTCCGCAGCAGCAGCCGGCCAGAAGGAGACCCACCCGGCCGCGGGAAGAAGTGGGCCCGACCGCGCAGCGTCACGAGAGTGGGGCCGGGATGCCGTAATTGCGTAGGCGTAACGACGAATCCGGCACTCCGAACCACCGCATCCGTCCTCGTCTGGTCCGGTCGCCTTCCGTCGCCTACTCCCCTCCCACTCCCCTTCCACGGTTCCACTACCTCCCTCCCATCACGTCGAGGCGGGGTCCTACCGAGAGGGACGCCTCGCCACCGCCGTCTCTGTTGCTCCCTCCCCGCGCAATGGCGCCGACATCCCCGCGCTGAGCGAGCCCCCGGGGGTGGACCTCCGAATCCGCGCTACCGTCCCGCAGGTGAGCCCGTCTCCTTGCTGATGCTGCTGCTGCGCCTCGCTCTCCGCCCGGCCCGGGGTGTGCCGATGTTCGTGTCCCCAAGCAATCCCTGCAGTAGTGAAATGCCGCCGGGTTCCATGTCGATTTAGGCGCTCCAACTTGCTCATCTGCTTTGCTTTCCAGAGTATCTGTGCTCATCAATTGCGAATTATCCTTCCTTCGATTCCGACCTCCTCGGGTGCGCAGTGCGCTCCTGCCGTCCTGCGTGCATTCCCATTTTCAATTCAGCGCTGCTTGGCGTGCGTTCGCCGCTCGGTGGCCATTCCTGTTGGCGTCGGCGACGTGCGTGCGTGCGGCCGAGCGGTCGAGCTGAGCAGACGAGCCGCGCTATCTGGCGGGGCGGCGCGACCCCACGCCCGCGGGCAAGCGGAGGCCGAGCGGCGCCGTCCAGGCGGCCTACTGACCGGCAGCCCAGATCCACAAGTCGCGCGGCAAGGGCTCCTCTCTCTGACTCTCTCCCTCCCTCCCTCAGATCCGACCAAATTGGAAGAGGAAGGACATGACAAACCTTCATTCCTATGGTTGGTTCCTCAATTACATTCACAGCATCAACCCCACTGGTGGGGAAAGGCAGCCGGGTTTTTTATTTTTTTTATTTTTTTTAACAAGGGTAGCGTGGACACGGTTAAAATTAGGGTGTTTACTTTGACACATCACACATGCATGGATGTATAGTGGCCATAGGTTGTGTTTGCTGTTTCAAGCTTCCTGCAGCGCTGTTCCTCTTCCATTATGCTTTATTTAATTTTAAACCGCTTCATTTATCCATTAGGCTACTAGTGAGCATATTTTGATGGTAACCGATGGCATGCCTGCAATTTTAAAATGTGAATTAATTGCCTGTTTTGTTCACCAGGGCGTGAAGTGGGCTGATGTAGGTTGACTATGTCGTTCGTTCCAATTTAACTCATGCATGTGTGGGCAGCGTATGCTTTTCCTCAACTTATGCGTCCATACTTGCAATGCAGTTGAAGACCAGGCAGCTGTTCTCTACTTAAGGAAGAGATGGCCCATGTTTCGTTCAAAAGCAAAGATGTGGACGGCGGTATGTCCCGATGGTCTGAGTATCTAAGTGTTGAAGAACCAATTCCTTCGGCATTGGCAACCTGGAGGAACATGGGTGTTGATGGGCCGCAAGGCTCTTCTGCCGGTGGCCACAAACATCTTCAGATGGAGCCGGTGGTTCAGCTGTCAAAGGTTGCAGAAGGCTTGCTGGCCAAAATATATCGGCTGAACAGCATCCTGGACTATCCAGATCCAAACACGCACACGTTCTCAGATTCATTTTGGAAAGCTGGTGTCTTTCCAAATTTCCCAAAAATTTGCATCACGATGTCAAAAAAGTTTCCTGAGCATCCAAACAAGCTGCAGCTGGAAAGGGTAAGGATTCAGTTTTCTTCAGCTGTTCACAGCTCATCTGGCTCCCTTCCTAGAGTTCATTTAGTTTAATATGGTGGTGACTGGCGAGTCAATCACTCTGATGCTTTGCAGGTAGATAAGTTTGCTCTTGATGCTTTAAACGAGAATGCTGAAGGTTACATGCACAATCTTGAGCAGTGGATCCTGGTATGTGCCAAGCATATAAAGAAATCTGAACCTTTAGGGTAAACCCCCCTCTTTCTGTTAATGAAATATGTGTTGCAATCCAAAACATGTGTGTATGGTATCACCCAAGTCTGTCCAAATTGTGGAAAATGGATTGCATCAATTGATCTATGAGTTTTACTATATTCTGCTCTCAGTAACCAAGCATCTTTGTTGAACTTATATGACATAGTACCTCACCTACTCTAATTCTGTGTGACTTATTGCACTTGCTCATTTTCCATTTGTCGTTTCACCTGATACGTTTTCCAAACTTGGGTTCATCAGATATGGTATCTGTGAAAGCTGCACATGCTAGCACGGTCAGCCTTTTTTTTGGTAGCATAACTTCGCTGCCCCTAATTCTGCATGAGTATCGAGCTTACTATATGAACCAGAAAAAAAAGCTGTACTTGCAATTTACAAAAAGCTGGTTAGAATACGTGCCAACAGTTGGTACCGTAGTCCGTAGCTGCAGTGATGCACTGCCCTGAACTAACCGTTGTCTTTCTATGCCATAAAAGTGTATTTAGAAATTACTGACTTACTAGCTTAGGTAATTACCTTCATTCCCACTGACGATGTTTTTTTCTCTCCTCATTTTGCTGATTTCCTTCCAAATTTCATCCCATCAGTTGCTTCTTGATTTGCTGGCATTTCGTGAACAAGCTTTGCGACTTATTTTGGATTTGAGCAGCACGGTCATAACATTGCTGGTAAGAGATCTCTTGGTCTTGATTGAAATGACCTGTCGTTATTGTCTGCGTAATCGATTATGTTTGCATTGTTTTCACAGCCACACCAGAACTCTTTAATTCTTCATGCTTTTATGGATCTGTTCTGTTCATTTGTCCGAGTGAATCTTTTCTCTGACAAGGTAACTGTGTTCTTAATTTCATTATATTTGAAATATATTACTACTCTAAATAGTAGTTTTTCCTCTTTTACCAAAATAATATCCTACCTGAACTTCTGTTTGCAGATGCCAAGAAAGATGATCCTCCAGGTTTACAACATCTTGCACATAATGCTAAAGGATGGTCGTGATTTTGAGTTTTATCACCGGTATGGGCATTACCTTTGGAAAATAAAAGTTGCTTCCACCTTTCAAAACCTTTTTTAGCACTAGGATTATATTGTTTATCGTAATTTGTCATTTCTATATGCCAGTTGCTGGTATGTTATAAAATTGCATGAAAACAAATATAGATCATTCTTTATTAGTTAATCATGTGTGTTAATATTATTCTTGATTATTGCTAAAATGAAAATACAAATATGCGTGCAGTGCAAAACATAATTAAAAAATTGAAGATCAACAGTCTGTAAGCCCGAGTATGCTGCTTTTGAAGTATTGGCACTTATGTACTTTATTGATAAATATAAATCTTTTTTTTTCCTTTGAGATCTGTGCATTATTTCATTAAGAAGGGAACAGTACAATGGGAGAGGAAGAATCCCCTACCAACTACAACAAGAAACAGAAAAAAAAAGAACAAAGGACACACGCGGGGCGCTACAGTACCGCCCATACTAGCAAACAACATGACCGCTATGGCCGTCCTGAGCATCACTAGATATAAATATAAATATCTTAATCGCTCTTATAAGAATTTTAAATTTAAACACTGTCATTGTTGCATGTTTTCAATGTATTATTGTTTATATCTGGAGTGGTACCACAGACTGTAGCCTGTGCACTTACTGCTCTCTCCGGCCATAAAAACATGCCATTTCGGACAAGATTTAGCTAAACCTTATATAAACTACAAACATCAATAACTTTTAATTGTTTAGTTTGAAAACATTTAAGTTATATGTGTAGAATCGTCTTGAAAAAAAATACCTGCAGCATCTCATAAATCTGAAGGATTTTAAGGATATACTCTAGAAGAAATTAGTGGTCAAAGGTATGCATCGAAGAACATGCAAAATCAAATATCAAGTATACCTTTCCCAACCCACCAAGGAGGTGCTGCTACATCTAGTTGATAAAGTGGCTGATCTTCTCCCAGGGTGGAAGGCACAGCTAATGAATAGGGCTGGTCGATTGATCTTGGTGCGGGTGGTCATGACAGCCACCCCCATTTATTTAATGATTGCCTTTGATCTCCCTAAATGGGTAATCAATGCAGTGGATAAAAGGAAAAAAAGGGCGTACCCAGTGCAGAGAGCTCCCGCTCTGTGCGGGGTCTGGGGAAGGGTGTTAGTGGCAAGCCTTACCCTCGCCTGTGCAATGCGAGGAGACCACGACTTGAACCCGGGACCTTCCGGTCACAGGCGGTAAGACTCTACCGCTTGCACTAGGCCCGCCCTTTGGAGTGGATAAAAGGCGGAGAGGATTTTTATGGAAAGGGCAGGAACAAGCAATGGAGGCAATTGTTTAGTTTCATGGGAAAGGGTACAGCGCCCGCTTGAGTTTGGTGGCTTGGGGATCCATAATCTTGAAAAACTTGGCTGGGCTCTTAGGATCCGTTGACTTTGGGCCCAAAAAACAGACCCCTCAAGACCTTGGGCTGGTTTTCAGGTTCAAATTCCTCAGTGCGCAGAAGCAATGTTTCGCTTGGCGGTTGACTGTATTGTTGGTAACGGGGAATCGATCTTATTCTGGAAGGACAGGTGGCTGAACGGCAGAACCATCAATGAACTAGCCCCAAATTTGATCAAAGCTATTCCCAAAAGGTCGCTCAATAGAAGGACAGTAGCTGAGGCTCTAAATAATCAGAGATGGGTGGCAGATATCAAAGGTGCGCTAACTGTCCAAGTCTTGGAAGATTATCTCAGTATTTGGGATCTAGTGGAGGGATTGACCTTGCAGCAGGAAGTACCTGATCAGTTTAGATGGAAGTTAACTCAGTCAGGTACTTACACCAGCAAATCAGCGTATGCTGCTTTCTTTGTCGGGACCATCAAATTTGCACCATGGAAGAAGATTTGGAAGAGTTGGGCTCCACTCCGGTGCAAGTTCTTCATTTGGTTGGCTATCAACAATCGTTGTTGGACGGTAGACCGACTTGCTAAAAGAGGCTTGCCCCACTCGGAGGCTTGTCCTTTTTGTGATCAAGAGGAAGAAACCATTCAGCACATCCTTGTGGGTTGTGTCTTCACCAGGCAGATTTGGTTTTCAATTCTCCAAGCCCTACATCTACCTGCTCTAGTGCCCTCAACGTCAGACACCAAATTCTCTAGCTGGTGGAGGAAAGGTCTTCGGCTTATTCCAAAAGATTTGCAAAAGGGGTTCAACTCTTTAGTTATTCTGGTAGCTTGGGAAACCTGGAAACACAGGAACTCTTGTGTTTTTGAGCATGCTAGGCCTAGCATTCCAGATCTGCTCCGAGTGATAGCTGATGAATGCAGTTTTTGGGGGTTGGCAGGAGCTTCTAAACTCCAAGAGCTCCTTGCCTGGTCACTGTCCTTGGCCACTTAGATTGTGTGTAGGTTGGTCAGGGTTCTAGTTGTTGCTTCTTTTATTTTTCTGTAAGAGTTTGCTTCCTGTTAGTGGTGTGTGTGTGGGGGGGGGAGGGGTTGAGTTTGTTTGTACTTGGCCGGTTCCTGCCGGCCCTCTGTTTCTTTCTTCTTAATGAAATGACACGCAGCTCTCCTGCGTTGTTCGAGAAAAAAATATCAAATATGTTTGACTGGAGGGACTATTTAACCCCATCCCTGTGATATTCTTTTTGTGTCATGAATGGTTTATTGTTACCTTATCATTTTTTTGTTATGTCCAGTCTAGTCTATAGATTCTTCTTCACTGACTATTGTTTATCTATACACAGATTGGTTCAATTTGTGGATTCTTATGATCCACCTATCAAGGGGTTGCATGAAGATCTTAATTTTGTGAGCCCAAGAATTGGAGAGGTGGTACTCATGTCATTCTCCATTGCAGTAGTAATAACTAGGAATTAAGCTTCATATGCTATTTGAGTGTTCAACTCCTAAATGTGTTACATGCTAGGCTACTTCCTCCCATCATTCAGTACTATGATCATGAAATAGGCTGCAGAAAAAGCTTCTTAGGGCCAGTTTTGCATACTTGCATTAGCATTGAGTATATTTGGAGGGCCAATTATTTTTCTTACAATCTGTTGCTTGACTAGTTTTGTGATTTTTCCCCATTTGTTTTACTTGTCGTTCTTATTGCCAAGCTTTTTTTCCTTCTGTATCCGATACCTTATCTCTGCTGTTATATTTAATATAAAGGCTGGGATTCGAGTATGTTCTATGGATTTTGTGAGCACTTGATGTGGCATTGAGCATCTTCTGTAGCAGAGATTGTCTACACATCTTTATTCACAGGGTGTATGATATTAAGATCAATGCTTTGTGCTATGAATTTATAAATTGAAATACAATATAGATCAGCAGTTAAACACTTTTGAAAAGCACATGCATTTTGTTAGTACCTTTACAGCATCTGACTTAGATTTTCTATCTAAATTGTTTTTTGGTGCTTTGACTGTAATGTTTTGTTCCTCAGGTCCTGGAAGCTGTTGGCCCAATTATCTTTCTTTCAACTGATACAAAGAAGTTAAGGAACGAAGGTTTCCTCAGTCCATTTCATCCACGTTATCCAGACATCCTAACAAATTCCGCCCACCCAATGGTTAGTACTTCAACTGTTAGAGATGATAAATCATGAGAGCATAAATGTCTGTTCATTATTCTGCCAATACCATGATAAATGTGTATTATAATTTAGAGATTTAACGTGATTCTGTTTCCTTCCAGAGGGCCCAAGACTTGGCTAATGTCACATCATACCGTGAGTGGGTTCTTCTAGGATATCTTGTTTGTCCTGATGAACTACTTAGGGTTACCAGTATAGATGTTGCCATGGTATGCCCTATGTCTTTTTTTGTTTGTTTCATACTCTCTTTTCCTGAATAGTTAATAATTACAGTGTATATAATGGTTTCAATGAGCACTTTACACTTACATCCACCAACATAGTGGCACATACATCTTGTTTTCTCACTCCATTTTATCATAAGAAATCTTATGTTGGTATCTGGTAAGTCTCGGTTTGGTGCTATGGTGGCTTTTTAAAAGCATTTATTTATTTCTAATTTTAGATCGATTTGGTTGAAAGCATCTTTCATGAATCAGTTACAATGGGGAACTCCCCACAGTCTTTTCTTGTAAAAAAAAAAACTGTACTAGTATTAGTAAAGATTCACCAAACTAGATTCCTCAGTGCAACCAGCATGTTATTTGTGATTTAGCCTTGATTTGTTTCTTCTTGGTCACTTTCAGGTTGTTCTGAAAGAGAACTTAATACTTCCTCTGTTCAGAGATGAGGTAAAATTAAAGACAATGTTGTAGCATGATTAATTCTTTGGTGTCACTATTCTAATTTGGTCTTTCATTTGTGTGTGTAGTACATCTTACTTCATGAAAATTATCAACTTTACGTTCTTCCAAAAGTTCTAGAATCAAAGAGAATGGCTAAATCTGGCGAACTAAGCAAAAGGAAGCTGATCTGGAGTACAATGTTGCAAAGCAGGTTGAGAGAATGTTAATGTATGTCCTGCACAGCCTTTTCATCTATGCTTTTCCCTATGCTCCAAAATAGCTTGTAATGTGAAGGGTTCTGTTGTTCCACAAGTTTGGGCTATTTACCTTATACTTTGATTATTGTTTTTGAAGTCTTTCTGCATATTCACTTTTTGGATTTGCCAAGTTCAGATAGCCTATTCTTGGTTGGTTCTTTTGACTTTTAACTTCATAACTTGGGAACTGTTTTACCTAGCATTTTTCCCTTCTGGTGTCATTGCTTTTTTATTGGACTTTTTGATTTTATCTACTCAAGTCATTCTTGAGAATTAAGATGTTTGTTAATGTTTTGTGTTAACTCTCTACAGGGAAGTGCATGAGCAAGCGCTAGTGTCATGCGATGCTATGCATCGTGAAAGGAGAATTCTTCTTAAGCAGGAAATTGGAAGGATGGTTTTATTTTTCACAGATCAACCTAGCCTCCTAGCACCTAATATTCAGGTTCGGTGCCAAGTATCACATTTCGTTAACTACTAATCTATTACCTTTTCTTGATTGTTGTAAATGAGACCTCAAAGTTGATGCATTAGATTCTGGCATTTGATATTTTTATGTTTTGTCCAATATTAGTCTCTTTGAATGATGCTTGAGCTTCTGATGAAAAGTAAAATGTTTATAATTTATAAGGTAACAAAAAACTGAATGATAAGGACAGTGTTATTAAGGCATCGCTTAAGCGCCAAAGTGCTGCACGCATGACGCCCACAGCAGACGACTCACCTTAGATTCGTATGGTGTCCACCTTACAGCCGAGGCGTCCAAAAAACGGTGCTTTGGCGTCCGAATTGTGCCAAATTGCTCGTGGCAAGCGCCATATGGGTGATCTGGGCAGGAAAAAGCGGGAGATCCATGGAGAAATGGCGGAAAAAATCGAGAGAGTGCGCGGGAGAAATAGAGCGCATGAGAGAGAGAGAGAGAGAGAGAGAGAGAGCGGGCGTGAGGGAGATTCTGCTTACCAGTGAGCGGTAGAGGAACAGGAGGCCGCGCCCTCTTCCCCCTCAAGAATGGAGGCGTCTGTCGATCCTGAGAGCGCTGAGCAGTGAGGGAGGGGAAGCAGAGGGGTGGAGGGAAGCAGAGCAGCACATCTGGGCAGAGGTGGAACGGCAGTGGTGGGGAACGAGAGAGTGAGTGGAGCGGTGGCGCTGGAGGGGATCGGGAGTTTGAGAGATGGAAACCTTTCTAGATGAAGCCACACCAGGAGGGGGGAGGGGCACATGGGCTGCCTGGTGGGCTGGGCCAGCCCACTTCTTACTCTATTCTTTTTCTTTTTTCTTCATCATCTATTGCTCTAAGCTGCTGTTTTAAGTTTTCCTTAAATTCTTAATGTAGAATATTGGGATAACACCTCACTCCCATTAGGGAGGGGTGGATCTCATATATATAGCCAAGATACAATATACATGAGTTAGACTTATACATATCTCTAATACCCACCCACAGTCACAGCGGGAGGGAACTGGACCTAAAGTCATTGAACAACTGTACAGGCAGTCCCTTAGTCATAATGTCCGCAAATTGATGAGCTGAGGGTACATGTAGCACTCTGAACTACCCCAAAGCCACCTTCTCACGAACAAAGTGAATGTCAATCTCAATATGCTTCGTGCGACGATGATGAACCGGATTGGCGGTCATGTAGATTGCGCTGACATTGTCGCAATAGACAATGGTCGCCGAAGGGATCGAGATATGAAGCTCCTCAAGCAACTGGCGCAACCAGCAGCACTCAGCAACTTCGTGAGCAACAGCTCGGTACTCTGCCTCCGCAGTGGACCAAGACACCGTGGTTTGCCGTTTTGAAGACCAGGAAACCAGGTTGTCTCGGAGGAAGACGCAATAGCCTGATGTAGAGCGCCGAGAGTCTGGACATCTAGCCCAGCCAGCGTCGGAGTATGCCGTGATGGATGAGACGCTGCAAATGCCGAGGTGCATACTGGCATCGAGGGTGCCCTTCACATAGCGCAGGATGCGCTTGATCAGAGCAAGGTGCGGCTCTCGCGGGTCGTGCATGAAGAGGCAGACTTGCTGAACGGTGTAGGCAATGTCCGGCCGAGTCAGCGTGAGATACTGCAAGGCGCTAGCAAGGCTCTGGTATTCTGAAGGGCTAGCAACCGGAGCTCCATCGGTGGCAGACAGCTTGGACTTGGAGTCAACCGGTGTTTCCGTGGGGTGACACTCAGCCATGCCAGCCCGCTGAAGAAGGTCGACGGCATACTGTCTCTGGGACAAGTGGAGGCCGTCGGAGGACCGAGTGACGGAGATGCCGAGGAAGTGGTGTAGAGCCCCAAGGTCCGTCATGGCGAGCTCGGAGCTAAGACGGTTGATGATGCGCCGCAGAAGATCCGAGGAGGATGCTTGAGTTAGACTTATACATATCTCTAATACTTAAGGCGTCGCCTCGCCTCACACTTTAGTCGCTTAAGCGTAAGGCAGTAGTCAGTCACCACGCCTCACCTTACCGCCTTGATAACCATGATAAAAGATGTACCCTACCGTACATTTCTACCAGTTATTCTGGGGTGTTGGACATATTAGACATCTTTTTTTCATTTACACTTGTAAACAATTCAACTTTTATGTAAGGCAACTTATCTGTATATAATATCCTTTTTAGGGGAAAACAGTAGTATATTGCGCTATATATTTGTATTATTAATTAATGGTCAAAATAGAGGGTAATTCACAAGAAAGAGAAAATAAATGCAGTAGTGATTAATTTGGATTTACTAGCTACTGATGGATTTCCAGAGAATATTTCTCTGTGCACTAAGGATAACCTTGGTAGATTCCATGAGACTTGAGTAGGCTCTATATACTTTCAAAGATCTTCATGATTTCATATCGAGGGACGCACCTAAGATCATGTTATTCCACAAGTGATGTACATATAATGCCGATACATTGTGCAGATGGTCTTTTCTGCTCTTGCTTTGTCTCAATGCGAGGTGATTTGGTACTTCCAACATGTGGGGGTTGCAGCATCAAAATCTACTCGAGTGAAAACTGTTGACATTGTGAGTTACTCTGATGTTATTTTTTCCTTGGATTCAATGAATCGTTGTTTCAGTATTCTATTGCTTTCTAAAAGCAGAGGTTTCTCCTCATCTCAAAAAAATAAAATAAAAAAATAAATTGTTGTTCCCTTCCATACTAATTGTTGACTGAACTTTCAGGATGCGACAGACCCAACTATTGGTTTCTTACTAGATGGAATAGGCAAACTTTGTTGCCTGGTTCGTAAATACATAGCAGGTTCTTCCAAACCTGTTGCCTTATTTGAGTGTTTCTTTTAATATTTTTCCTTGTCTAGTCCTAGCTGTGCCTTATAGGGCAGTCATTGTGAGTAAAATACCTTATTATGATGTTGAGGTCAAAGTGAACAAGTCTGTAGGCTTGTAGCTGGCATGCCCATTCTGGGCTAGTTAATGTTTGCTTAGTTCATGTTGCAAGCACTATCTTCTTAGAATATAGCGTATTAGATTCAACTGGTAGGATCATATTCATTAATATGAGTTAAGTAAAATTTTCATTTATGCCTTAAGAAGATTATCATTTTTCAGTGCTGAATTTATATACTGATGCACATCTCTTTGTTTTTGGGCAAATAAAGTATTATACAAACAAAAAAACTTAAGTTTGTCCTAAACTAGCAGTGTTGAAATTTTTTCATTTTTTATCAAATGATACCTTTTCCTCTTTGCAGCAATAAAAGGTTATGCATTATCATATTTGTCATCCAGTGCTGGAAGAATACGGTTCTTGCTTGGTACTCCAGGAATGGTTGCTCTTGACCTAGATGCAACACTGAAGGGCCTTTTTCAGCAAGTCCTCCATTGTCTGGAGAACATTCCAAAACCTCAGGGGGAAAGTGTTCCTGCCATTACCGCTGACTTGACTGTAAGTTAACAACCTAATATCATATACAGATTTACTCAATGACCTATGAAGATATACCTAATTTTCCTACAACTTCTGCACTCTTGTTGTCAATATGATTTTCTATGCCCAGTAATTGGTAGATTGATGCAAAGGTTTTCTTGTTGGTCCACACAACATTATACAATTTGAGTTCAAGTTTGTTATGCATAATTTCCAGCACTCACGCTTTCCCTCTCAAAACTGTTTCATTTGAGCAGTAGCATATGTTTTAAGTCTACATGTAGATAACTACAGTTCTAATATTTATCAAGATTCTGGATTGTAAGGTAGTTTTTGAATACTTTTCAATGGTGTTGTTCAAAAACTAACTTCTAGATACTGATGAGAATATATTTGCTTTACCACCAGAGCTATTTTTTGTTGATAAAAAGTGCTAACTTTGCTTCTCCTCGAACTCATTATCTGTGAATTGTGCTCTTTTGAACGTTACCTTACTCTTTTCTATGTGTTGACAATTTTATGATTTTTAATCACGTTGAAGGTTGAACACTATATTCTATTGCTTGTTGAAACTTGAAAGCTTCACACCTTGGTTTTGGTTTTCTTTTACATTGCTGGTTGCATTAACCAGCGAAAAGTATGTCACCAACTGTGTATCTAATTCTATATGCTTAGTCTTCCATTTAAGTTTACCTTTTGAACTTTTCAAACCTGATATTGATGCTGCAGGATTTGCGTAAGCACTGGCTCTCCATTTTGATGATAGTCACGTCTTCACGATCCTCGATAAACATTAAGCACTTGGAGAAGGCTACTGTGTCTACTGGGAAGGAAGGTTTAGTGTCAGAAGGCAATGCTGCATATAATTGGTCAAGGTGATTGGAAAGATCTGCTTTAATTTGTGTTAGCTAGATTTTTATCTTTTTTTGCCAGCCAATATTTTTCTGAAAGGGTCATGATTTGGAAAATGCTATCCTATGTGTCAATGGCATGTGGCCCCAGGCCCAAGCATGGGATGGTAATTTCCCATTATGCGTCTTTGCTGTGGTTAATGTGGTATTGAGTTAACTCCAGCTTCTGTAAGGTGCTTCGCATAATTGGCCCAACATAACAACAACAACAACAACAACAACAACAACAACAACATAGCCTTTCAGTCCCAAGCAAGTTGGGGTAGGCTAGAGTTGAAACCCACCAAGAGTCCCAAGTCACGGTTCAGGCACTTCAATAGCTGCTTTCCAAGCACTCCTATTCAAACATAGATCTCTAGGTATATCCCAAGCTTTTAAATCTCTTTTTATTGCCTCCCCCCATGTCAATTTCGGTCTTCCTCTACCTCTCCTCATATTATTAGCTTGGCTTAGGACTCCACAATGTACTGGTGCCTCTGGAGGTCTCCTTTGGACATGGCCAAACTAGGTCAACCGATGTTGGACAAGTTTTTCTTCAATTGGTGCTACCCCTAGGCGATCACGTATATCATCGTTCCGAACTCGGTCCATTCTTGTGAGACCACAAATCCATCGCAACATACGCATTTCTGCAACACTCAGTTGTTGAACATGTCGAATCTTTGTAGGCCAACATTCTGCTCCATACAACATAGCCGGTCTGATCGCCATTCTATAAAACTTGCCTTTTAGCTTTCGTGGTACCCTCTTGTCACAGAGAATGCCAGAAGCTTGTCGCCACTTATCCACCCTGCTTTGATTCTATGACTAACGTCCGCATCAATATCTCTATCCCTCTGTAGCATCAATCCCAGATACCGAAAGGTATCCTTCTTAGGCACTACTTGACCTTCCAAACTCACATCTCCCTCTTCCTGTGCAACTCCGTCAAAGTCGCATCTCATGTATTCGGTTTTAGTTCTGCTCAATCTAAAACCTTTAGACTCAATGGTTTGCTGCCATAACTCTAGTTTCCTATTTACTCCCGCCTGGCTTTCGTCCACTAACACTACATCATCAGCGAACAACATACACCAAGGGATATCCCCTTGTATGTTCCTGGTAACCTCATCCATTACCAAGGCAAAGAGGTACGGGCATAATTGGCCCAACATAAATAAATAATCCTATTTCATGCTCCTAAAATTACACTTTGTTTTATACCATCTTCATGCCATTTAACTGCATGTCCCTTATCCCTATATTTTACACTACTACAAATATAGTTGGTAAAGTAGAATAACTAAAGTAGTTGCTTATCGTGCATGCATCTGTATAGTTCTTGTTCTCTGTTATTGTGCTTTTGGCAAGAACTCAAATACTTGAATTTGAATCAAAATTCTTTAAGAATCATTTGAACCTCACTAGAGTTAACATGCTCTGCAGATGTGTGGATGAACTTGAGAGCCAACTCTCCAAACATGGAAGCCTTAAAAAACTCTACTTTTATCATCAGCATCTTACCACAGTAAGTTTCTATTGCTGTGTGATTCGCATAGTCCTTTAAATCTTCTCTAGTAAGACTTTATGCTGATAATAAGTCCCTTTTTTTTTGCTGGGACCCACAGGTCTTCAGAAATACAATGTTTGGCCCAGAAGGTCGTCCACAGCATTGTTGTGCTTGGCTTGGAGCAGCTTGCAGTTTTCCAGAATGTGCTTCTGCAATTATTCCTGAAGAGGTGTATATTTGAATTCACTATATGATTTCAGTTTGAGCATTATTTTGATGCTTACAGCATCCTGAAGATGTGCTCTGCAACATGGCTGGCTTTGAGGATTAGTAAAATATTATAAGGCGACACATATACTATTAATTTTTGCTTGGCAAGATGGACATTTGCTATGCTTGATCTGTTGAGCAAGAAGCAAGCCAGCCGCCTATGCCTTGGGATTGTGAAGGCTTTGAACTGCCATTGACATAATAATCCTATATGCTCCAACTCTTATTATGACATAACAATATGTCCCCAATCTGTTACTGAGATTCCTCCTCTACAGGGTTGCACTTCTCTTCCGTGTTTGGCATATTAATTAGTGAATCTTTCTTTGTTTGCAATGTAGGTTAACAAAATTGGCAGAGATTCTATCTCTTATGTGGAGTCCCTTATTGAGTCTATCATGGGTGGATTGGAAGGTTTGATAAATATTCTAGATTCAGAAGGTGGATTTGGCTCATTAGAGATGCAGGTAGATAACTTCTGAGTTTATATTTATGATTTTTTGGCTCATAGGTTATATCTTTGAAGTCTCACTTCTAAAATCTTGCCAGCTTTCCCCAGAGCAAGCAGCTCTTCGCTTAAATAGCACAACAAGAGCAAAAGGTGTTTCAAGCTTGTTAACTCCAGGACATGAGAGCTATCCTGATAATAGTTCATCAATTAAGATGTCAGTAAATTTGTTACTTCACACCACTTTAAATATTTCCATCATTCTATTGACTTCAGTATAATTATGTATGCCTCAAAAACAGGCTGGAAGCTGCTATGCAAAGGCTGACAAGTTTGTGTTCTGTTCTAAATGACATGGAGCCTATTTGTGTTCTCAACCATGTTTTTGTTCTACGTGAGGTATGTACAATTTATGTTCACTGGGAGGAAGTAAATATGCATGTTTGGGATGTTAGTCGCTGAATTCTCACTCTTGGTAGTAGGAGAATTCTTACTCTCATCGAGAGAGGATGACACTAGGAGTTGGGACAATTTTCTTGTCTAATTCTCACACAAACTCACACAAATGCCATACCAACCTGAGGGGTTGGGGTTACATATTTATAGGCTGCTAGCCAGCCAAGCATATGCCAAGATGCTAGTCTAAGATGCTAGTCTAAGATGCTAATATGCTGTCCTCTAGTCTAAGATGCTGTCCTCTAAGATGCTGTCCTCTAGTCTAAGATGCTGTCCTAAAAACAGAAAAACAGCCACAATGACCATGTGAGCAGCACAGCCCCACAAAGACCAGCCACACATGAGACTTATCCATCATGGGAACCTTACAATATGTTAGGTTTTTAGGATAACAAATAATATGCCATAATAAGATGATTGGTGGTTCATGGCTATTAAACTGGTGGATAATATCCTTAGTTTTCATGTTAAGGTAATAATCTTATGACAACAGGGATCTAAAAAGAACGATGCAAGGAATTTTGTATTTTCAAAAGGAAATTACTGCTTATGTTGTTTATTCCTTAAACTGGCATGCATATCCTTGTTTGACTTACACTTTTTTAGATAAAGGAAGCTTTTATTGGAATCAATACAATTACATTGAGTTGTTTGACTTAACTAGATTCTGTTAATTTCACAGTACATGAGAGACTGCATCGTAGGAAATTTCAGGAGAAGATTTCATAGTATGATTAGAACTGAGAACTGCATTCAGCGACCATCAATCATAGAATCTCTTCTAAGAAGACATCTGGGCATCATCCATCTAGCAGAGCAGCATATTAGTATGGACCTTACTGAAGGCATACGTGAAGTGCTGCTAGCAGAGAGTTATACTGGTCCATTTCCTAATCTGCAAATGTTTGAGACTCCAGTGGGGACACAAGGAGGGGATCTGCTGTTGAGACGATATGCAATTGGTATATTGAGAATGTAGTAAAGGATGCTTCTCGCATTGGAGTTGCTTTTGATGCAATCCAAAATTGCTTCAGGAGCTCACAACCTATTGGTGGTGGATGTTTAGCTGAAGCATTTACAGATAAAAGAGAACTTAAATCACTTGTTCGTCTTTTTTGGTGGCTATGGAATAGATAAAATGGATAAGATGCTAAGGGAGCATACATCTGCGCTTTTAAATTGTATTGATTCAGCATTGAGGTCACATCGTGATGCCCTAGAGGGCCTAGCTGGAAGTGTAAATTCTGGCGATAGGATTGAAAGGGATGCGAATCTGAAGCAAATTATTGATCTTGAAACATTGACTGACCTCTGTATTCAAGCAGGGCAGGCAATAACTTTCCGTCGACTGTTGGTTGAGGCTGTTGGAGCAGTCCTTGAAGAGAAAGTACCTCTCATATATTCTCTGCTCAAAGGATTAGCCTTGCAGTTGCCAGACGAGGTACCTGATAAAAATGAGATAATTAGATTGAGAAAGGTTGCAAGCAGTGTTGGTGTTGGTGACAAACATGATGCTGAGTGGGTACACTCAATTCTGGCAGAAGCTGTTGCAGCTAATGATAATTCTTGGATCCTACTTCCATACCTTTGTGCTGCATTTATGGTGTCCAACATTTGGAATGGTGCTGTTTATGATGTCAGTATAGGTGGATTCAATAACAATTTGCACTGCCTAGCAAGGTAAGGACTTGTTTCCTATAATAATGTTTGACTGGTGCAAGTCTATGTTTGATGTCAACATTTGTTAGTCACCGGTATCCATGATAGACAAAGCCTCTTACCTTTGATTGTAGCTATTCTCATGAGACTAGTCTCTCACTATTATATTGACTATTGATTTCCTAAAATCCTCCTAGTGTTCACATTCTACATTATAGATACTATTAGAGGAAGGCCAACAGGCTTGTACTACTTGAGATTGATTTACAGGAGGGATTACATATATATAGGGAATACAGGAAAGCCCAAAGGGCCAAGCCAGCCTGGGAGGCTGCGCATACAGCTAGGGGACTAGGGGTAATTAGCACAAGTACCTAGGACTAATAAAAGACCAGCAATGATTAACACAAGTACCAAGGAGGTATTCTAACAGATACTTTTATTTGAAAGTTTCTATTACACAGTTGATGGATAAAAAGGATACTATTAGGAATAAGGTACAGGTGATCGAATCGAATCCATCTCTTGTATTTGTGCAGGTGTGTAAGTGCTGTGGTTGGGGGAAGCGAATACACTAGGGTCGAAAGGGAGCAGCGAATAAATTCTCTTTCAAATGGGCATACAGATGAGCTGCAAGAGGCTGAGTTACCAAGCCGTGTCTCAGCAGAAGCGAATATTAAATCTTCTATGCAGATCTATGTCAAATTGTCTGCAGGGATCGTCCTGGATTCATGGAACGACACTAGAAGGTACTGGATTGACCTGGTGCACACTGCATTTTTTGGATTTTGGTTGGCAAGGTTTTATAGTTTGTTTGCTGGCTTTTACATGACACTAAATGCAGGCCACACATCGTTCCAAAGCTGATATTCCTGGATCAACTCTGCGAGCTGTCCCCCTACCTCCCAAGGAGCACCTTAGAAGTTCACATACCATACACCATCCTGCGCTCAATATACCACCAGCTATACGGAGCCTCACTGATGGCCTCGGAACCGATGGAGCAATCCCCAAGGCAGTCACCTCTGATCTCTCTAGCGCACACGTCCCCGTCCACAAGGCAAAATCGACCGGAGACAACTCCCAGGTCTCACACCTTCGAGCCAAGCTACTACAGCTCGTCGGGGTCCCAGCACGATGATGGCTACGATGCGGATAGGAGGACCGGACAGCTGCGGAGCATGAGACGCTCCGGACCTCTCGACTTCAGTGCGAGCAGGAAGGTGAAGTTCGTCGAGGGCTCAAGCTCCGGGAGCAGCCATGGTGCTGGCTCGCTTCAGAGATTCGCAGTGTCGAGATCTGGCCCTCTATCATACAAATAGGACCGTGCAGTTGCTGCAACATGAAGTGAGCACCAGCATTAGACTGCTGACAATACAGGCGTAAGTGAATATACGATTGCGTGTAACTCTAGAGCACTAGATCTTCCTAGTGCGTGTTGGACTGCTGGTTCTCCTTGTACGTAGCTTGTAGCTAGTTTTGTTGTAAGTAAAACCCATTGTGTGTTGATAGTTTACTAGTGTAGTGTGCTTGTGTCGATTGTCATTAGATACAGTAAGTGATTTGAATTAGCTGTTGCTGGTTTGGTTTGTGTGTCAATGATACAGTTATTCGTTGATTTGCTTGATAGCAAAGTAAGTAAACCTTCTCTGTGCTGCGTATGTATTACTGAAATATAGATGTCATCTTTTGAAGCTGGCGCACAATCCATGTAAGCAGTCTTATAAAAAAAACACAAAATCCAGGTAAGCATTGTGAAACCCTCTCATCTTTGACTGTTTCATGACCTCGCGTGCTGCCCCGTTCATGCTCTAGGCGAGGCTCCATCTGTGGCAGCACGGGCACGCGATGATCGTCTATATATTCATGTGTTACGAATTGGTGAGCTGAAATGAAGTAACAAGTACAGGATGGTTTGTTATTGATTTTGGGTTATGATTAACTGGGCTTGGGCCCCTGATCAAATGGTTAGCCAAGTGGCTGTTTTTTAAAAGTTAATTTGGTTGATAAATAAGAGTAAATGATATGCTACTTTATGTATTGAATCAGCTGTTAATATAATTGATCCACCCCTGCTGCTGATGAGAATGATTATTAGTGCATCAATATTTCTCGCAAAAGATGGTTCGGCTGTACACAGCGTTAGCGACGTGGCCATGTCCACCTGATGGTACGGGTGTTCTTATTAGTTATTGCAATTTATTGTGTTATAAGTTTTTTTTGCGGGTATATTGTGTGTTAAGTTAAAAGTTTAATGCTTATAGTATATATTTTATGCAAACAACAAATAATTTATATTTTATCTAAAAATGGATTCTAGATCCTAAAGTACCCTCTACAGTTAATGCAATGGTACAAACATTTGTCGCAGTCTACGGCACGACATTTAAGATGTTGAATTTTCTGTAGCACTAAAAAAGACATTTTTAGCGGCAAAGCTCTTTTTTAGAGACGACTTAATCAAAATTTCTCTCTAAAAATAGTTTCTAAAATGAGCCGCCTTTAGAAATCAGTTTTTTTAAAGCAGCTAGTATTTTCAGCTGCCTCTAAAAATGCTTCTACCTTTAGAGGCGGCTATAGATCCAGTCGTCTGTCTCTACAAATCGATTTATATAGGCGGCTAGATCTAGAGCCGTCTCTAAAAATAGTCCATCTATTCCAAATTATAAGTCGTTCTGGCTTTTCTAGATACATGGCTTTTGCTATGGACTTAGATATACATTATGTTTAGATACATAACTTTTACCATGTATGTAGAAAACCGAGAAGGTCTTATAATTTGGAACGAAGAGAGTAGGTGCAATAAAATTTATAACTTTTTTAAATGAAGTTGGAAGAAGACAAACTTAAGTTGTACATCCAGAAGAGATTTACAACTTTGTATTTGACAATTTTTTCATTTGAAATCATTTATATCCAGAAAATTCTGTTTGAAGTTCTCCTATTTTGAAATTCACTTTTTTTGATTTTTTTTTCAAATGATCTCAGGTGGAGAAATGATCAAAACTAAAGTTATAAATCTCAAGAAAATCTAAAATATTACAGTTGATAGCTTTTTCATTTGAAATAATCTATGGTCCCAAAACTCAGTTTTAAATGCTCACATTTTGAAGTTGAAATTTGGAAACAACCTCTGATGGAGAAATGACAAAAACCAAAATTATAGATCTCGAAGAGCTATACAACTTTGTAGTTGAATATTGTTTTTATTTGAAATCATTTATATCTAAGTAAAATTCTGTTGGAATTTCTCACATTTTGAATCCAAAATTTTCAAAAGATCTCGCATGAAGAAACGATTAAAACCAAAGTTGTAGTACTCGACAATATCTATAACTTTCTAGTTGTAACATTTTTCATTTGAATTCGTTCAGGGTGTCAAAAACTCATTTGAAAATCTAGCAAAGTGAATACTAAAAGATTGTACTTAGCCTTTAGTCACAAGTGACTTTGGGGGTGGAGTGGTCAGCGCAGCTACAAGCGAGGCCTGAGGTCGACCGCATCTGCTCGCGCGTGTACTTTGCGTGAAAAATTGCGTGACTTGTGGGGGCTGAAAGCATCTAGGCCCCTAGTTGGGTTTCGGTGATTAATGACGACACGAGATTACTATGACTAACGTGTGTTTTACAGAGGCAATTTGAGTTAGGTCATGGTAATGGAAATTGATTCGGCAATCATGGTTGTCATATCCCTGTCGATGGAAATCGTTTTGGTTTTCAAAGGATGGATGACACGGTTAAGGACGGACTAGTTCTAAGTGTCGTTTGGCGTTAGAGAGACACTTAGAGTAGTTTAGGACTTTGTTTTTCCTTTGTCCATACTATTAAGGTGGGTATGGACAAGTAGCTTGACCTAGGTGAGTCTAATGGATTAGGTGTGGTGCACACGTGTCAAACTTAGCACAAGGTAGCTCAGGAATAGCCCTAAGATCTATAGAAGTTAACTTCATTCACGAAGGATTTCGAATTGGAAGTGAATGGAGGGTCAAATGATTGACCGGACACTGGTTTGGTTGTGACCGGACGCAGCTTGAAGAGTCCGGTCAGTTCATTTGATCAGCAGCTACAGTCATGTACTGATCGGACGCTGAATAGTACATGATTGGACGCTAGGGTGCCTGCGTCCGATCAACATCAGAGAGCATCCAGAGGGGCATTTTGCTGACCGGACGCGTCCGGTGGGTGCTGACCGGACGTAGGTCAGAGTCCGGTCAGAGCTAACGGCTCTCTCTGACACAGTGACGTGTACTACTAACCGGAGCGTCCGGTCACCCCGATACTTGCTGAGTTGGCCTCCAACTGTTATGCTTTGAATGAGGGGGTATAAATACTTATCCCACTCGTCCATGTGAGGTCTCTTACTCATTTGTTCAGCTGAGAAACACATTTGGAGTGCAAGGGAGAGCAAGTGGCTAGTGGGGTAATTGAGATTTGATAATCCAAGACAAAGGACCGCATTAGTGCATAGAGAGTAGCAAGTGTGCATCCACCTATCTCATTAGGCTTGTCTTAGTCAAGTGAGAGTTTGTGCTTGTTACTCTTGGTGATCGCCATCACCTAGACGGCTCAGTGGTGATTGAGAGCTTGGTGATCATCCGACGGAGCTTGTGGATGACCCAAGTCATGTTGTGAGTGGTTGTGGACGATTCACCACGACGGAGTGTCAAAGAATTAGCCCATAGAGAGCACTTGATCTTTGCGCGGATCAAGGGGGAGCTACACCCTTGCGTGGGTGCTCCAACGAGGACTAGTGGGGAGTGACGACTCTCCGATACCTCGGGAAAATATCGCCGTGTTCCTTTCTCTCTCTTTACTTTGAGCATTTACATTTGTGCAATTCATTTTATACCTTTACATTCATAGAATTGCCATGCTAGAGTAGGATTGGAACCTAGGGTGCAAAACTTTTGTGCGGTAGAACAATAGAAACACATTCTAAGCACAAGGGGTGAAATGGGCTAAGTGTAGGGCTTAATTATTGAAAAAATTAAGAATTAGCCCAATTCACCCCCCTCTTGGGCATCTTGATCCTTTCAATTGGTATTGGAGCCTCGTGCTCCCTAAATTAGACTTAACCGCCTAGAGCAAGATGTCCCACAGGGATGAACCCCCTCTTATCTTTGAGGGAGATGATTTTCCTTATTGGAAAATTCGCATGAAGGCATACCTAGAGGCTTTAGATGTTGGAGTTCTTAGAGCCGCCTCACAAGGCTTCCCAAAACCTAAGGTTCCCGCCAACCTTCAAGGTGATGAGGTTAACTACAAGAAGTGGAATGCAAAGGCTAGAAACACCCTCTTTAGAGGCCTTTGCAAGAATGTCTTTAACCGTGTGCGGAACCACAAAGACGCCCATGCACTATGGTCAGACATTTGTGCGCTCCATGAGGGAACCAAGAGTGAGTGTGAGGAACGCTATCACCTTGTGATGAAAAAGCTTAATTCATTTGAGATACTTCCTAGAGAAAGTGCCAATAAAATGTATTGACGCTTGAATGTTCTTGTAGAGGAAGTCAATGGGCTTGGACTCACATAAATACAACCATCCGATGTTGTGAGAAAGATCTTGAGTGTCCTCCCCATTGACAAGTATGGACATATTGTGATGGTGCTTCATCAAGGTGATCTTTCCACCGCTACACCAATTTAAATATTGGGGAAGATCAATGCACATGAGATGTACGTGCACATCACTCTACAAGATGGCTCTTCTTCCACCAAGAAGAATGATTTGGCATTCAAGGCTAGCCAAGAGAAGAGGGGCAAAGCAAGAGTTGATCATGATAGCTCAAGTGATGATGAGATTGATGATGCAAGTCTTGCTCTCATGGTTAAAAGAACTGCCAAGATGCTCAAGAAGCTAAACAAGAATGGTGTCAAGTTTGATGGCAAGAAGAAATTCTTCACTAGTAGTAGAAGGAAGCCCATCTCTGAAATGGATTGTTATAATTGTGGAGAACTTGGTCATCTAGCTCATCAATGCCCCAAACCCAAGAAAGACAAGTACAAGAAGAAGTACAAGGGCAAGAAAGATGACTCAAGTGATGAAGATGATGATGAGAAGAAGAAGAACAAGCCATACAAGAAGAAAGATGACAAGAAGAAAGAATTTCACAAGAAGAAGAAGAATGACAAGGCATACATTGTTGGTGATTGGCTTACGGACATTGAATCATCAAGTGGCTAGCAATGAACGAAACGTACAAGGGTGAACGAAACGTACAAAATGATGATGATAGTAGTGGTGATGATAATGCTAGCAATGATGAAAATGACAGTAATAGTGATGAAGAATTTGAATCACCTTCTTATAATGATCTTGTCAA